GAGCGCGAGGAGGAGGGCGAGGCGTTTGCCGATAAGGAAAAGTTCGTCACCGAGGCGTACCGGAAGCAGCAGGAGGAGAATAGGCGCATCGAGGCGGAGGAGAAGAGGCGCGAGGAGGAGGAGGAGAGGAAGAACAAGGCGGGCGGCATGACGGCGTTTTACAAGGGCTTGCTGAACCGCGGCGAGGAGAGGCACCAGGACATGATGAAGGCTGCCGAGGAACAGGCCAAGAATGCGCCTGCGGAGCGCGAAAAGAAGGAGGAGAAGGGGCAGCAGCAGCAGCAGCAGCAGCAGCAGCAGGACGAGGAGCAGCCTGACAAGGAAGCGACGGACGCCAACAGGGCGAGCGAGATCAACAAGAAGGGTGGCAAGATTGCCATCAACGAAGACGGCCAGGTCGTCGACAAGCGCGAGCTACTACGGGGCGGCCTCAACGTCGGCGCCAAGAAGGAGGCACAGGTCAGGAGGGAGGCCAGCCGGCCAAAGGATGACGGGCGCGACCGGGGTTCGGGCTCGGGCTTTGTCGGTGCTGGCGGCAAAGGCGCCATGCGCGAGCGGCAGACGCGCATGCTCGAGCAGCAGCTCGCCGAGTCGCTCAAGCGGTCACGCGAGGAGGAGGAACAGGAGCGCGAGAAGATTGAGACGTCGGCCAAATCGAGGAAGACGGAAGGCGAGATCTCGAGCGCCAAGGAGAGATACCTGGCGAGAAAGCGCGAGGCGGAAGAGGCAAAGAAGAAAAAGACGGCTGAGTAGGAGGAAGGACATTTTTGATACCCCGAGAGATGGCTTCCCCGGATCAGGGGTGTCATCTAAGATTATAGCTCTACAAAAAAGAGTTCATCTCCAAGAAATCAGAGCGCCACCAATGTGTTGATTGTACATGTGCCCCCCCGCCTCCAACACTATACTACTGTGGCAGCGCTGGCAGAAGCCTCTTGACGCAGGCATTCGTTCCCGGCCGGGCCTGGGTCTTTGCCTTCCACAATGGAGGCGCGCCCACCCTTTTTGCGACTCGGATCCGGGTTCATTGCTTTGATGGTACATTCGGCACGGGGCCGTTAGATTTCGATGATGCGCGAGCAGCCTCGTTCTTACGAAGATAGAGCCTGGTTGCCAGACTCTTGACGTATCCTGGCGATATAGGCCGTGTTGACCTGGTTCCATGCCGACATGTACTTCTCCATGCACGACGTCATGCATGTCGTCTCGCCGCTGGACAGCGAGGTACCGGGCTTGGGGACGCACTTCTCGAAGCAGTTCTCCTGGAGTTTCTGGGCGGCGTCAGTCGATTCCGTCATTTGCCCTCCGGCGTCTGGCAGAGGGCTGCAGACATACCTCGATGAGAACACGGGCATTGGCCATGTTAGCCTCCTGAAGGACCTGCTTCTGGAGCGCCCTCTTGACGGATTCGGAGTCCATTGTGATGGGTGATTGTGTGATGCGAGATTGTTCGTGGTGCAGTTGAAGAGCCAGTGTCGGAAGGAGGGTAGCGTCAAGTAGGAGCGGTTGTAACAATGGAAGCACGGGTGTTGAAGGCCAGATCCCTCGGGTAGGTAGACAAGGTAGCGATGATCGAGGTTGAAGAGCTTGATGGACTGGTGTGGCTGAAGCATGAATGTGCGCCACGATTCACCAGCCTCAGGCCACCGCTTTCCAACCGACGTCAGGCGCGAGCGGGACAGGGGTGAGCTCCAAAACGCCGTGACCCCAGGTTTCCATTCCAGGAAACCTAAGGTACCTTACTTTACTACTGGGCCGAAAAGTGAAAGAGGACAGCTAACGGCCCTGGCCAGCATTGCAAACGCTCTGCATCCGGACAACCCCCCCCCCCCCCCAATTCACGACCAACTTCTCACGACGCCGCCGCCGACCGACCCTTGTGCGTCGCTGGATCCCGGCTTTGCTCTCGTCTTTTTGTCTTCTATTCTTTGTTGCTTTCTTTTTGATCCCTGACGATACGCCGGCAACCATGTGGCTGAAGTCGCTCGTGTCGGCCTTGGGGCTGGCTGCTCTGGCTCGTGGCCAGAAGACCTCGGAAGATGATGGCGAGGTCAGGAGCATTGGTGTATGTTGACTCGCTGGCGCAACCCTCTTCTTGATCTGGCCTATTGGTATCGTGTACTGAACAATGCGTGATCCAGCTGCGCACCCACTCCATCCAACAGGTTTGCACCACGGCCTCTCCAACACCAACTTCCCCCTGAACGCCGACCGCTAAAACAGCTCGACAGCCCTACCTCGACTCGGACATGCAGAGCCGATGGTACGACTTTGGTGGCGACACGATCGTCCGGACAGACTCGTGGGTGGCCTCCCCCTTCTCGCTTCTTTCGCCATGCTCTGCTGTGATTATGCCATGAGGAGGAAACAGGAGTCTGACACGGGAGACAGATACATCCGCCTGACATCGGACCGCCCATCGCAATCGGGCTGGCTCTTCTCGCGCGTGCCGCTGACGGCGACCAACTGGGAGATTGAGGTCGAGTTCAAAATCTCGGGCAAGGGCCAGCTCTACGGCGACGGCTTCGCCTTCTGGGTGACCAAGAACCGCGGGCAGATGGGCCCCGTGTTCGGCGCGGCGGACCGCTTCGAGGGCCTCGGCGTCTTCTTCGACACGTACAAGAACAACCGGCCGGGCGTCGTGTTCCCCTACGTCATGGCCATGCACGGCGACGGCCAGACGCCCTACGACAAGGACAACGACGGCAAGGCGTCCGAGCTCGCCGGCTGCTCGGCGCGCGGCATCCGCAACGCCGCCGTGCCCTCGCGCTTCAAGCTGACCTACTTCCAGGACAAGATGCTCAAGCTCGAGCTGCAGTACAAGTCCGAGGGCGACTGGCAGCTGTGCTTCGAGACGCGCCAGCCCCCGACCCTGCCGTCCATCGCCTACCTCGGCTTCAGCGCCGAGACGGGCGAGCTGCACGACAACCACGACATCATCTCCGTCGCCGCCAAGAACCTCTACACGGCCCCCAACAAGAACAAGAACCCCTCGACCCCGGGCAGCGGCCAGTCGTCGAGCCGCGGTCCCGCCCCCGTCAAGGAGGGCGGCAGCTGGACCTGGTTCTTCGGCAAGATCATCCTCTTCATTCTCGTCCTCGGCGCCGCCTACGTCGGCTTCACGGCCTGGCGCGCGAAGAACGAGAAGCGCCACCGCTTCTGAGCGCTGGTCTCTCTTTCACCTCTGCGACATCCCGACGCATGCCGAAACGGGGTGGGCTTGGGCGGTGGTCGTGAAGGGACTACGTGGAAACTGCAAAAAAAGAAATTGGGTTGGACAAGATGGGGGCAAGGACGGAAATGAGATGTAGGCGACGACGCCACGGAGTCATGGAGATGAGCAGACATGCGGTACCGGGCCTGCGGCGGTTTACACACTTTTCTCACGTTGTTCCTGATGTTCTTCTGTTAGAGTGTATCACAGTGAGATGCTGGAGTTCAGGAAACGACCACGAGCCTGATTAAGTGATGTTTGAATTGACCATGTTGAGACACGAGTGACCAGGTTGAGAAGGGAGCAGTTCCCACGGATTTGCTCCAACTTGGTGCATCACGCCGGGTCCGAAGAACCAATCCACGTTGGATCACTGTCTGCGCGCCCCCTCCAACGCCCCCAATCAACCCGTCTGAGAACGCATGGTACAGAGTATATATATCATCATTCATTGAAAATGTCTATCTAATTCAAACATGTACTGTTGTTGCCCAGTCATTACGTCGTGAAGTATATACACACCACATGTCGAAAATTATGAACCCCGTCCCTTGAAGCCTTTTCAGACCTCGGTCGGAGTAACGAGAATCATCCAAAAAGGGGGCCTGCCGCACCTCATGACAGCCGCCCCCTCTACGGCTTGACCGGCGCCGTGACCGAGGTCCACGTATTTGCCTTACTCATGGTCCGCTTCCGCATCATGGCCATGATATCAGCCTCCATGTGCTCAATGTTCTTCTCGAGGTCATCATCCTCGAGCTTGAAGCGGCCCTCGCGGCGGCGGTCAAACTGCAGCCAGCCGAGAACAATGGCGGCCGTGACGGGCACGGTGATGACAAAGTAGACCCACAGCTGGGTCGAGACGACCGTCTCGGCGCCGGCGCCAAAGTCGAAAAAGGTCATGCTGAAGACGGAGGCGAGGAAGGTGCCGGGCAGGAAGATGGCGCCGAGGAGAGAAATGGTCTTCATGGCCGTGCTGTCGCGCTTGCTGGCGTGAGCGAGGCGGCGCTGCTCGCCGGCCATCTGGAACTGAATCTTGGACTCGCGCTGCGAGAGCAGGTTGTAGAGGGCGCTGCGCTGGATGTGGAGGCGCTCGAGCGTCGTGGCCTGGTAGTTTTCGATGCCGACGAGCTTGGCCGTGTAGAAATCGAGACGGCTTAGAAGGCTGCGGTGCAGCTTGTCGAGCTGGGCGCCCTCGGCGCCAGCCTTACGCTCATCGGGCAGCTGTGCCCAGAACTTTTGCATTGCCTCCTTCATCTGCACGACAACCTCCTGGTAGGCCTGTGGTCGCTTCCACAGCACCTGCGAGTGGCATTCGACGAGGTCGCGGCTGATGGCGTCGACCTCCATGACGCCGTCCTCGCGCACGTAGCCCTCCTTCTCCTCGATGGCGTCGCGCATGCTGACGGCGTGCTCGAGGCGGCGCAGCCAGTCGCGCGCATCGCGCTGCTTCTGGTCGTTGCGCGGCGACAGGTCGTACGACAGGATGATGATGGGCAGCAGCATCGGGTGACCGACCTGGGCCGAGCAGGCCTTGAGATGGGTGATGGACTCGGCAATGTCGCTCGACGAGGTGCCCTTGACGAACCCCGTCGTGAGCCCCGACTTGACCGCGTGCGAGAGCATAATCTCCCATCCGCGCGTCTTGCCCTTCTTGCGCACGTCCGACTTGCGAAAGATGATCTGCAGATGCGGATCCTCGTCGTCCTGGTCGTAGGAGCACCAGAAAAAGGGCCCGACGACGGAAGTGCCCTCGATGGCGCGGTAGGGTAGACGCATCGTCTCGACCATGGACTTGTACGTCGCGCGCGGGAAGGAGATGACAAAGGGCGCGAACGTTTCGTTGTCCTTGGCGTTCTTCTGGAGGACGAGGCGCATCGCACTCTGACGCTTCGTGTCAGGCTTCATCTTGTCCGGCGCCCGGAAGGCGCCCCTCTCATTGAGATAGTTCTCAAACTCATCAGACGTCAAGGGGTGCTCCTCGACGCAGTTGTAGAAGGTGTCCTAGAGGATAGAGTGGTCAGCCGCACAATTGGCCTCGTTCAAGCATCATCCCGGCTAGCCAATGCCCTCAGTCGCGATTGAAAAGTCAGGTCAGACAGAAGAACTCACAGAATAGTTGAGGACCTCGAGATAGCTCGTCACCTCGTGCACCTCCTTGCACTCATCCACAAAGAACTTGAACATGTAGTTGTCCATCTTGTCGCCCGCTCTTGTCCCGTCTTGGCTTCCGAAGCTCCGCACACCTCTCGGTCGATTGGGGCCGCCCGTCACCTCGAGACTCGAGCTCAGCCACAGCTATGCAATTCCAAGGCTTGAACAGGCCTGGCGGGGTAGGTGAAGACGGTGCACCCTTTGCGAAACAATGCCGTCAGGAATGAATGAACGAACGATCGAGAGCTCCAATGGACGCATGCAAGGAAAGGAAAAGCAAGAGAAGGACGCGAGAATCGGAGAAATCTGCAGGCTGCGGGTTGACCTGCCGCCCGTCATCTCATCACCACCAGTCTTGCAGTAGGTAAGTCGAGGGGGGGCGCGCGCCTTCCGATCCCCAACCTCTCTTCCTGAGGTCGGGGCCAATGGGCGACGAGGCGGAGGGGCGTACGGGCCCAGGGCTGCTGGGGCCGCTCTTGGGGCGGTGCAGCGGGGACCTTGTAGGTGCTTCCTGCTCTGGCTGCTCACTGTCCGGGGAGGTCGGGGGCCCACCTGGTACACGGCTTCCGGGCGAACGCCCCCGCACTTTCGGTGAGGCGCTCCTGACTTCTCCCTCCTCGCTATTTGTTTCCTGCCTCTTGTCTGATACCGCCTTCCGCCGCCTCCTGCTGCCTCCTTGCTATGCAGTGCGGTGCAGCGCTGGTCGCCCCTGAGCCCTTGCGACTCGATCTGTGCCGTCGTCTTGTTCCACGAGACGCGAAATTGCTGGCTTGACCTCATCATAGCTGTCTCACATCTGCCCGCATCATTGGCGAATCTGCATCAAGAAATACCGTGCGAAAACCATGCCACAGTAACATATATTGTCATGTCATGGTAAAGCCATCGCATAGTGGCCATGGTAGGCAGACCATGGCCAGGTGATGTAGGGCGTTGTCGTTGCAGGGCGTATTCGATACTGTAGTACTCCAACCGCCTCCTCTCCTCACGCACATCTAACACCCGCATCCAAGCGCCTGTGTCTTTCCAAACCTGAGCCCTCTGTTTTCGCGTCCCAGCAGGAAACTGACAAGAAAAAAGAGTCCTCATGTCCCGTCATCCAGCGCCCATCGTCTTGGCACATTGATTATCCAGAAAAATAATGACCAGAACGACACCATAGCAAGTGCGCTAGCGCTCATCACAACCGACCCTTCTCCGCTGCTTCGGACATGTCGCATTCCTTTCCCGGCCTGCCGGTGTGGCCATGACGGATGGCCTGGTTGGGCCACATGGGGCCCCGCATGAGCGCCTGTGGTCCCGTTGATAGATTTGCCTTGGCTGTGTCTTTCCTACCGGACGTCGTCTCTGCCGACATTCGCATCATTGGCCTCTAATACCCTTGCGATCATGGCGAGGGGGCGAACTCAAAACTCGGTGAAGAGGTGGCCGTATCTGGATCGCGG